GGTAAAGGAAATAAAATTGAATATTGAACTAGATTTTATTTAATAAGACTTAAAAGACACATAATTAATTAGGTCCTAATTAAATGGGTACTGTGAGAATGCTAATACCTTTTTGACATGTAATTGTACTCCTGAACCTAAATTTGTTTTATAGACTAAAACTTAATCTTTTTAATAAACCAAAGTCAAGCCTAGGACCTTATTAGGAAAAACATATTCACCTATCGCACCTAAATCAAAAAGATTGATGGTGATTCTTTTTAAGTTCAATAGTTGCTTTTGAGGACTTATCCGTTATGACAACAAAGACATATCTTTGCACTTGCTTCTATTTAAGAAGACAAAAAAAAATGTGAATAAGGAATAAGAAGAGGAAAGAGTTATAGCTGCTACCACTCTTCTTGCTTTTACTTGTCAAAAGGAAAAATATGTGTCTTAAGAAGTGCATTTATTGTTTGCTTTTTCTTATTTTTATTTTGTGTCATTGGTGTATCTATTTCCTCATTTTGATCTTCTATTTTTCCTTTTTTTGACTACAACTATAGAGGTCAACTTAGTTTAAGAATAAGAAACTTCCAAAGCTAAAACTAAGGAAGAATCATGTGATTTTGAGTGTAGTGATGAGTTGGGTGACAATTCAAATTGATGCGGATGATGCTCAAGTTAAGGATGCTGCTACTTCTTCTAGAGCATGAGGTGTATTGATATGTAGAATGCTTTCATGATCTAATTGATTTGGATGCTTTTCTTGTTTCTCATATTTAAAAAGAGAATATAGATCTAGTGAAAAAATATTATAATGCCACTCAAGCTAAGATTGTTCGAAAGAATACTGAAACTAACATTGTTCTATTTCACTAGTTACTCAAGTTTTCCAACTGCAGCCTAGACTTGTTAAATATTCATTGGATGCAAACACTCACCAACTCCTTCTTATCATGATATTCTTTTATATCTAAATCCCTTTCTTTGAAGCGTTGGATATATTTGACTTTTGATGCTCTCTTCTTAATCAATGAGAGTAACATTTTCATGGGTAGAGAAACATCCTAGACATATGGCTCCAAGATTCTATAGAACTAGAGGTAAGATTGACATACGATGTATAAGGCTTTTGAATAAGATATTGGGAGATTTCCTTCAACTTCAAGTCATCATCTAATCTCACAACTTTGAGAGTTTTCACAAACTTCATAAGATGCTCATTAGCATCCTCAGCATTGCCAATGAATTTCTTGAACTTTAGATTGGTGTAGTCATTATGGTATGACTTAGTATCCACACTAGTTGGATATGGTAGCTTAAAATCAAACTTGAAAAAGTTCAAGCTCCTATTCTTCTGATTGAGTAGGCTTTGGAGCTCTTTTTTTTTTACACAAAATCTTTGGTATGGCTAGTGGGATTACTATAGTAAAAGTAATTGCCAAAATTACCACAGAGGCATTAGTTGTGTTGGGATTTCCAGTGGCTACCATATCAACAATATTCTCTCTCCCACTCCCATTTGTATTTACAATAATCGAAGTAACTCTATTTGGCACATTTTATATACTATTAAGGTGTGTGGGCTGGGCTTAAGAAATGATGGTAGTAGAGGATACAAGTTGGGATATTGACTCTATTATTCACGTTTACATCTTCTCTTGAGAAGTTTGTATCATTTTCATCAGGGCTTAGATATAAGTGGGGAAGGTGCATTTTAGTTGCTGGTGAAATTGTCCATCTCTTTGAGTAGTGCAAGGTTTTTCCAATAAAATTTTAACTTATTGCAAACACTCTTCCTTAATAGAGTCGTCAAAATATAAAAAAGGTTTTTGTGATAGGGAAAGGTAGTGTTGTAAATAAATAAAAAGGATGTGCTAGGGGCGACAAATATGAAGACTCGAGCAACCTTTAAAGTATTGGATGTTGGGGCAAGTTATGATGACCAAAGGTGGTACTTTATACTTTACAATGTAATGTGATTGCAAACAAAATGATTGCAGGGAGGATAATATTGCAATATTTGGTGTAAAAACAAAGTAATGATTAAAATGCAGAAAAGATAACATCGTAATATTTGGTTTACAAGTATTTTGTTGAAAATGTAATGTCAATTTTCAAAATTACCTTTATTTATGAAAATGTAAGTTTAATATATTTGAATTTTTTTGTTGTTAACTTTTATATAATATAATCTCTTAAATATGTTTTTAATGTCGTATATTTTATTTTCGTTGCTTAATATAATTTCTTATATTATATATTTTATTTTAATTTTTTTTAAAAGATAATATAAATTTTATTGATAGTCACCATGGCTACTAAGAGTAATAAAGAGACATTCTTCGAAATTCATATAAAGAAACAAATTATGATACTGCAAAATATTTTTACCAAAGTAATAAAGTTGAAAGGTAAAAATGTCTTTAATAACATTGTAAAGTACAATGCAATCTGATTGCATTAGCTTTGGACTGCAATATGGTTGCATTCGTTTTTGGGCTTCAATCACATTACATCCATTGGCTGTGACGTGATTGTATTGCAATCTTACATTGTCGTGGTTTGTTACAAAATAAATATTGCAATGTAATTTAATTGAGCACATTACAGGAAATGTGTTTCTACTTCTCTCATATCAAACACTACCAAAGTGTAAAAAATTTGTTAGTAATAAAGTAAGGTGGAGAGAATGGAAGGGAATAGATGAGCAGTAGAGTAAAGTGGAGAACATCGCAGAGAACAACTAAGTAAAAGAGAATTTGAGAAAAAAATATTTAGAGAGATAGAGAGTTAAATGTGAGTCTATTTGCCTTTCCCAAAGAAACCTTTTGTTTATCCCTAATAGCACATTTGGTATGGGGAATAGCTAAGCTATTTACTCTCTTTGTTTGGTTGGTAAATTAGCAAGGAATAGCAATTCCTTTGTTTTAACTATTCCTCAAAATTGGTAAAAAGTCTTCTTTAACTACACCCACCTCCCTCCATAGTATTAGCTATTCCATATCTAATGGAATAGCTTCAAAAATTATTATGACTAAATTACCCTTTATAAATTTAGAAATTTACAATCCTCAAATATTAATGATTAAATTATAAATAAAATATTAATATTTAAATAATAAATTATTAATATTTTAAATAAACTATAAATTATTAATATATAAAAATTAATAATCATAATAATATTTAACTTATAAATAAAATATTAATATTTTTAAATATTAATGATTAAAATATAATAAAATATTAATATTTTAATTATCAATTATTAATATTTGAAATAAATGATCAATTATTAATATTTAGAAATAAATAATCCTAATAATATTTAAATTATGAATAAAATATTAATATTTTTAAAAATTAATGATTAAATTATAATAAAATATTAATATGTAAAGTATCAATTATTAATATAATGATTAAATTATAAATTATTAATATTTAAAAATAAATAACCATCATAATATTTAAATTATAGAGAAAATATTAATACTTTATAATGTTAATGATTAAATTATAAATAAAATATTAATATTTAAATTATCAATTATTAATGTTTTAAATAAATTATAAATTATAAATATTTAAAAATAAAATAAATAAAATAAAAATATCATAATAATATTAATTATAATAACATTAATATTTTATAATATTATAATTAAATTATAATATTTTAAATTATCAATTATTAATATTTGTAATAAATTATAAATTATTAATATTTATAAGATAAAATGAAATAAAAATAATCATAATAATAATTAAATATAATAAAATCTTAATATTATATGATGCTAATGATTAAATTATCAATAAAATATTAACATTTAAATTATCAATTAGTAATGTTTTAAATAAATTATAAATTATTAATATTTTAAAAATAAAAATAAAACAAAATAGTCATATATTTAATAAAAGGTATTTTTATCTTTTTATCTTCTAGTCATTTTTTTCCAAAGTTATTTTTACTAACCAAACACTACAATAATCATAAATAACTATTCATGCTCTTTTTCATTCATCATACTAAATACGTAATAACTATTTTATTCTATTTCTATCTTATTCTATTCCCTTAGAATAATTATTCTATTCTATTCTTATTTATTTCGAGAACTAAATGTGACATAAATGAATTGTCGAAGTTTTATACATAGGGCAAAAAAAAAATAGTTACTCAAGACATGCTTTAATGTAAATAATTAATGAGTAACAGTTACTCAAAAGAGCTTTGATGTACATAATAAATGATAATTATTAAAATGCAAATAATTAACAAACTGTCATTAGTGGTGGAATAAATGTTGTTCCTGAGTAATAAGGAAAAGGTAAAAAGAAAACGAGAAAAACACTTTATTTTAGAAAAACGTAAAGAGGAAAATATGGCAATGTATAAATTAGGGCAATATATTAATTATTGACCTGACTTGATATTTATATAGCAATTAAGCAACATAAGTACTGGCACAGTGGCACATGCATCGTCATATATATAGAATATATGAGACCCCATGATCATCAGCTTCCAATAGTTTTAGTGCATTTTTTCTTTTGGGGTCTGATGGCGGCCATTGCCTCCCATAGTCTTGTTTTGAAGTTGCAATTGGCTAAAGAAACTTCAGCACTATAGAAGCATTTGTTCATGCTTGCCGCCCACCTGTCCTGCCACCCATCCCAAGCTTGCTGTGTGAATACTATAACGTTACCGGTAATGGTAAGAAGTAAATGAAGGACGGATTTTCTTTTTGATTTAATTGGTTATGTTGCTCCATTAATTTGCCTTTTATGGTTGCAGCCTTGTCATTGGAAAGAAAAATTTTCACCCTATCCAATTTTTCATTCCCACCAAACATAGCCTTAAATTCTGATATTCTCATTACTACTTTCAAGTGGTGATATATGAATATGTATGTGTATGTGCATGTGCATGTGTTGTGTTATATCAAAGTAGCTAGATGATGAAAGATTACAATTAAAAATATATAAGTCATATGCTGTACAATAATTTATTTCTATGCGATGGCAGAAGAAGCCCTCGACCCAAGCTGATCAAGTCAGAAAGCGACAATCTACTATTTCAGATTGCAGACTAGCATAATCAGTTTCTCCATTGCCCCAATTTCACCATGGCTTCAAAGTTAGATCAGCTTCATTTTGTTTTGATACCCTTAATGTCCCCTGGCCATCTTTTACCGATGACAGACATGGCAAGACTGTTGGCAGAACATGGCGTGATTGTTTCGATTGTCACCACACCTCTTAATACCATAAGATTCAAGTCCACCATTGAACGTGCTGTTGAGTCTGGTCTCCACATTCGAATTCTCCAACTCCAATTTCCATCAGATGCGCTTGGCTTGCCAGAGGGGTGTGAAAACATGGACCAGCTTCCTTCCCGTGACTTGATCAAGAACTTTTTCAAGGCTGCTAGCATGCTACAACAACCATTTGAGCAACTCTTCAATGAGTTACAACCCCGGCCTAGCTGCATAATATCCGGTAAGAATCTACCTTGGACAGTTGACACTGCTCTCAAGTTTAATGTTCCAAGGATTTTCTTTGATGGAATGGGTTGCTTTTCTTTCTCCTGTACTCATAATTTAGAGGTTTCTAAGGTGTATGAAACTATGTCTAAGTTTGAGTCCTTTTTGGTACCTGGCTTGCCTCATCGAATAGAATTAACAAAAGCTCAATTGCCTGAAAATCTCAATCCTGGCTCAAATGATTTGACAAATATGCGTGGTAACATTAAAGCAGTTGAACTAATAGCTGACGGAATTGTGGTCAATACGTTTGAAGAACTAGAGAGTGAATATGTCAAAGAATATAAAACGGTTAAAGGAGAAAACGTTTGGTGTATTGGCCCGCTTTCAGCTTGCAACAAGTTGAATTCAGACAAAGCCGAGAGAGGTCAAAAGGCCTCAATAGATGACAACCAGTGCTTGAAGCCCTGGCTTGACTCAAAGAAACCTGGCTCAGTGATTTATGCCTGTCTTGGTAGCATATCTGGCCTGACAACTTGGCAACTCGTGGAGCTTGGTTTAGGCCTGGAAGCGTCAAACCAGGCATTTATATGGGTAATAAGAGGAGGCCAAAAATCAGAAGGATTAGAGAAGTGGATTGCAGAGGAAGGTTTTGAAGAGAGGGTTAAAGATAAAGGACTTATAATCCGTGGTTGGGCACCGCAAGTATGGATCTTGTCTCATCCTGCAATTGGAGGGTTCTTAACACACTGTGGATGGAATTCAACCATGGAAGGCATCTGTGCTGGTGTGCCAATAGTAGCCTGCCCGTTGTTTGCCGAGCAATTTCTCAACGAGAAGTTGATTGTGGAGGTGCTGGGAATTGGCGCAAGTGTGGGAGTCGAGGCTGCAGTGACATGGGGAATGGAGGATAAGTTTGGTTTATTGATGAAAAGGGAACAAGTAAAGCAGGCTATAGACAAGGTGATGGACAAAGGCAACCTAGGAGAGCAAAGAAGAAAAAGAGCAAAGGAGCTCGGGATGAGAGCAACTAAGGCTATTGAGGAAGGTGGATCCTCTTATCAGAACATGGAAATGTTAATCAAATTTGTTCTTGAACGAACAAGAGGTGGCCAAGCTAGTTCATGAGCAAGATGAAAATTAAGATCAACATTTCTTAATTAGGGTCATACCTTTTCTTTTCCTTGTTTAAGAGAAGGCTTGTATGAAGTCAAATAAAAAGCTATAGTACTACTTTCATAACTAAATTTCTTAAATAATTCAATGAACCTTTTTACTTTGTAACATTGTTAACTTTAGTTTCTAATTTTTTTTGCCTAACTCAGTCTTTTAATTAACTAAACTTAATTGTGTGACTAAACATAATTAATTAATTTTAAACGAAAAGATATTTTAAAATTATTTTACTAATCAGTGTCACGTCGTAATCAATTTACCACATCTATCTCAATTTCAGATTTAATTTAAACATGCAGACTCTTTGGTGACCTACAATATCTCTTATTATGACTATGAAAAAAAAGTACACTTATTTGAGTTAGATTGTTAACCGATGGTGCGAGGGGGCAGCCTGGGTACATCTTAAGCAGCCTGCCCAACCTCTTTCAGTTCCCACAATGGTCCACTTCTGCTTTCCAATTACTTTTTGTTTCACGCGCTACTACATATTGAAAGCTCATTGTGAATTCACAATATTCCACAGCTATAGGAGAAAGATAAATGCCATTATTAAACGAAATAGAATATATATTGGATAAACAATATTAGCACAGATATTTTGTAGTTCTTAGCTTATCCAAAAGAAAACGAGGAAAAAGTATCTAGTTGCCTTCGTGAACCACGTTTTTCTTTTTATTTTTCTTTATCCAGCATAGTGCCATTAAGTGGGGTGAGCTTTGATCCTTTCTTATCTAAAAGACAATAAGCTCCCCTCCTTTTTCCAAGACATTTTTCATCAACACCTAATGGCCGTATTTATATTTTCTGTAAGTTAAAATTTTATTACGTAAATGTATGTATTTCATAAATAATATATAAGCAAGTAGAATATTGATCCCATAGAAAATTTATTGAAAATTTTACTAAGTACTAAAATTAGAACAATTTAATCTTATCTTAACAATCAATATCAAATAACTAAATTAACTAACTAAAAATACTTAACCAAAATTTAAACTACGAAAAATCAAAATAATAATAACTTGAGTAAATATCAAATCAAATAAGCTTAAGACTACAATATCCCTCACACTTTCTCTAAATTTTATCTCTCTTCCTTAACTTATTTCAATAGGTTGAATTACTAATCTAGAGGCTTAATTTATTTATAAGGATTTTTTGACTCATTTTATAAAAATATCTATTTTAACCAAAACACTATATCCCTATGTGAATTGAAATTAAAGCAGATTTATTAAGTTCAAGCTCTAATCTGGCTACATACGACTTATAGGTATATACCTATCCTATATGCAAATAAATTAATATGATCATATGCTATTCCAATTTTAATCTACATTAAACTCTCTTTTTCAAGTTTGTTTAGGTTCCTAAATCAATTTAATTAGTGACCAAGCAATTAAAAGTATTAAGAACAAATTAGAATAAATAATTCAAATCAAGTAAAAAAGAGATTAAAAATTTAGATTACATGTGAGTTCAATTACAATCTTAGAAAAGGAAAATTAGCTACTCATGATTGCAGAGACAAATAACGTGATAATAATTTCAACCATTGAGAGTAACAAGAAAATAAAAGCCAAGGAAGAAAACAAAACAAATATTTACCCTTACTCTCCAAGTTTCAACCTCAACTTTTAGTTTCTTGAATCCCTAAAAGTTGTTTAACTAATATTCTTAAAAATATCTTATTTATACTAATAAGCTTAACGTATAGTTTTCTAAGTTGACCTATGATTTACTTGGGTTTAAAAGTGTAATGAGAGGCCCAAAAACTCAATTGTTAGTCTTTAAAAATTTCTATACCTAGCATAGTACATTCAACCATTTTCTAATGCTATTTTTTTTTATTTTTGAGATAGAACTAGGTAAAGTAATTTTCATAAAAGTTGTAGTTTTATCTCTTAGCTTTCCAATGATCAAAGAATCGCATCATTTGAAGTTCTGTAGCATGAGTTATGGCCAAAATGCTGAAGCATATACAAGTAGATTTTAAGCCTTTCAACACTTTACTTTCCAAAATTAAGCTCAATTCTTTTAGTTCTTACAAAAAATATAAAAATTAATAAATAATAACCAAATCAAAAAAAATAAAATTAAATTAAAATAACTCGCTTAAAAATAAACTAATTATAAAAACAACTAAAGATAAGTAAATTATAATTAAAAATTAAAGACTTAATTAATATTTAATAACTAAATTAGACTTAAATAATTTTATAAAATAGAATTATCATTTCTTAATAGACAAGCAGCTCCAAATTATCTTGTTAACTTTATATGGGCCATGGCCACATGACAGGTCTGTTTGATAGATGTATATTGCAAAACTATGGGTGTAGAATGATATGACTACTGTCCACTTGATAAATATAGATACTTGATTTTGATTAATATATATTTTTTAAAGAGTTATTTTATAGTATAATATTGTACAAAGAACAATGAGAATAACTATTACAAATATAACATTATTTTATGCAGAATAACTAAAAAACGAAGTGTTACTTCATGAATAATAATTAAAATAAGTGAAGTGTTACTTCATGCAAAATAACTAGAATAAGTAAAGCACTCCTATATATGGAACAACTACTCCAATCTTCCCTTCAGCCATCTCCGGTGCATCTTTTTATTTATTTCCAATTCTTTCTTTCCCTATTACAAGAACCTCCTTTACACCATACATATATAACATTATGCAGCTTAATTATTCAATGAATTCTTGCTCACAAAACGATTTTTTTTTTAAAAAAAATGACCATGATGATGGCAATGTTATTTAGTTTTTGGCAACCATGTAATGTAATGACAACTTTAATTGGCAGGTAAAATCTCCAATAGTATGTAGCTGGAATTGGAGGAAGCTGTTGAAGCTACGAGCAAAAGCGAAGGTATTGATTCAATGTTTGACTAGTAATGGTGAGAGAACATTTCTTTGGTATGATAATTGGCATCTATCGGGACTTTTACTGGATAAGTTTGGCATGAAATTAGTGTACGATTCCGCAATCTCTGATGAAGTTAAAGTTGCTGCTGTCATCAAGGATGGTCATTGGTTTTGGCCTCCTGCGTGATCACTTTACTAAGTATAGGTTCAGATTGGTTTTTGTGGGATCATGGAACAAGTCGCTGATAAACAGGATGTAGTCATTTGGCTAGCATCCAGCTCCAGGAAGTTCACCACTTCTGACGCTTGGGATTCGCTAAAGGATAAAAAAGCTAATGTTCCTTCTTGGCACAAGCTAATCTGTTTTAGATTTCATATTCCAAAATTCCATTTTATTGCTTGGCTGCCTATCCTGAGCAGATTAAGTTACTTTATACGGAATTCAGTCATGGGGGATTTCCTTGCGTTCTACTACTTGTGTTCTTTGCAATTTAGAATTGGAAAGCGGACATCACTTGCTTTTCACTTGTAGCTACTCCCAAGCTCTGTGGAGAAGGGTGCTGCAAACATCTGGGAACCAAAGATCTTTCGGAGATTGAGACACTGAGCTTATAACTTGGGCTATTTCTGTGCTTCTTTGCTGCTGCGTTCGGCTTGGACTGCCTATCTCTATCATATTTTGAGGGAGAGGAATTCAAGGAAGCATACCTCCTGAACATTACCTCATGATTCCATTTTTACTGAAATAGCTACTGATATTCCAGCTAAATTTAATTCTTTAACCATTCGTAATACCAATCCTTCACACGTAGAACTTCGTAGGAGCTGGGCATTGTTCCTGTGTAATTCTTGATACCGGTATTTAGGCTTTGCCTATCCTGCTTATTTCATCATACGAAATAAATTTCAATTACTCAAAAGAAATGTTATTTTGTTTTTATCTTTACTCAGATTTAAAAAAATAAAATAAAAATTTTCAAGCACTCTGTAATAGCAAGCAGTTTTAAATTTCCACCATGTCACACAGGCTGGAAGTCCTTGGTAGACCAACAATTAGTACCTCTGTATGAAAGCCTCCGCCCTTTTTGGCATATAGAAAAATGCTGTATCGTCTTCCCAAAAGAATATTCCAATTTCTTGGTGGTTGTATATGTCACGTCTCAAACTCAAAATTTAAGACATGATAACATCATATGTTCAGGAGATGAATTCAATGAACATGTGAGATCACATATCATACTAACTGCCTATTTGGTTTGAAGTTTTTTTAACTTATCTACTTCTTAAAAATAGAAATAAAATTAAACAAGATTTTGAAAAGTTTTAAAAAAACTTTTTTAAAAAAATAAAATCTAAAAAAAAATTTAAGAAAAGCTTCAAAGAGTAGCCTTTTCTTCTTTTTTTTTTTTAAAAAAAATACATTAATTTTTCAAAATTTTCTTTTATTTCAAAAATATTCTGATTTATTAAAAATAATCTCAACATTAATTTTTTAAAAAATAACCTCTTTCTCAATCGATCTCACTCCCTCTGCAAATCATCTCTTTGCAATGCAAATTGCCATCTCTTTCTCCTTCACCTCTTTCTTTAAAGATTACTAAAGAAGAAAAAAAAATGCGCAAGACACAAACTACTAGAAAATTATCTGTTAAGTACTATTTATAGTAATTTTAATCAAAATTAGAATTCATATAAGTTGTTTGATAAAGCAATTTATCTATAAAAAAGAGCTTATAAAAGAAAATTTAAATCACAATAATATTTCCAAAAATCTCTTTAAAATTTATATTTTACAAATCTTAAAGTCTCAAAATATATAAATATAGTTATTTGAAATGTACAAAACTTCCATCTACCTAACATTTTTTTACAAACCAAAACTGAATATTTACATCAAAATTTACAGAAGAAAAAAAGATAGATGATAATCTTGCTAAACAAAGCTCTCCCTAAACAAATCTAATTCCTCAAATATGCAGAAATATTGAAATCTATAAAAATAAAAAAAAATTAAAAGAATGAGTACAATCATTCAACAAATGACCGACTTCCCTAATGTTGGATTAAGTATGCTACAAAACATTTAAGCTAAAATTATTAATAATAAAAAAATAAAAACAAAATTTGGTAATTTCATTTGTAAACATGTTTTCGTCAAAAATTATATTTTCAAGTAACAGAACTAAATTTAATTTCATTTTAGATTACATAATTAAATATAATTCTCAAAAATTGTAATTAGTAATTTTTTGTAATGGCCTTATTTAATCATTGTAGCATAGGTCACAATTAACTTCAATGGCATAAGTCAAAATCAGAACTAAAATCACAATTAACCCCAATGACGTTAATCAAAAATATATTAAAAGCAATCAATAGTTATACTAAATAATATCATAAAAATTATTATTCAATAACTGGTGGTGCGATTTGACACTGATTTCTAATAACAAAGTACATCTCGACATGACCAACCCCTATTGGCAAGTAAGAGCAAAGCCATTCTAAGAGATAAAACCAAACCTATATTAAGATTACTAAAATGTACAAAGCAATATTTATTCACTTGTTACAAAACAAATATTATATAAAACCAATTTCATATAAAGATATATTTAAGTATACTAAACAAAATCATATTCCGAGTTCAAAACAAAGAATCATTTATTGTACAAATTATATTCCAAAATCGAAGCAAAGATATACACACACATACTTAATTTAATTTAACATTGAAAGTAAATTTCACATTAAGGTTAATTTTCAAGGTGTAAAAATATCAAAGGATATATCAAGTCACTTATTTAATTCATTAAAATCAAAATAAAAGAACAAAACATACAATCCTCTCGAAGCTTATTAATTCAAAACTACTCAAAATTAGAAACCAAAACTACTTAAATATCAAAACAAACCATGACTTTCTACTTGTCATTCTAAGGCATTTAAGACATATAGCAACTTCTTCTGCAAATTGAAAATAGTTTCCTATAATAAAAACAATATTCCATTTATAAAAGAAAGGATCCAAAATTATGTAAAAATTGAAAAGTAAAGGTTACTTAATGATATCAATAACACTTATGATTTTTTATGAAAAATCTAATATTAATTTAAGGTAAATATCATATTTGTAAATTTTTCCTTAAAACAAATGGGTCTTTACAAAATCAATCAACAATTTTATGAAATATTTTATTTATGTAAAAATTATATAAATATCATAAAACTAAAACTTATAAAATTTTATAGCAAAATTAATTAAATATTGTTCAAAATTTATTTTGGAATAACTAAAACACTTTTTTCAATTTTTGAAATTCCATATTCTTGATGGTCGTTTGGCTTACTTTGAGCACTTCTAACTCCTAATCCAAGTTTATTCTAGTGATGATTTGAAGACCACTTTGATGTATTCATGTCATACTAGCTATAACATAAAAATAATTTTCAATAAAAAATATAGCAAAATTCACATTTGCAAGTTTCAAAAGTCAAAATTTTGAAAATCATTGTAGTAATATCCATTATTTTTAGGTTTCAGATTCAACAAGCATACTATGAATCTTCAATTCTTTTATAACATAAAGATCCTAACCAAGCCATTAAAACTGAAATAAAGATTACGTTTCATACTATAAAAGCTCCTAAAGAATCGATAAAAAATTATCAAAGTGTGGAGTTCCAATGATGCAAACTTGGGTTATTAAAACTATAAAAAATAGGTTTTCAGCAACTTCAAAAATTAATAACTCTAATTACTCAACCAATTGAGGTGCTACAAAAATCATTAGAAAGGTTTTTCAAAGGCCTTTCTATCAATATCTATCATACTTTGGGAAAGTCACCAAAGGGGTACTAATTTTGTCAAAAAGTTGAAAAACTTGAAATAAACCTAATTTTGTGTAAAACTATGCAAAATACATTTCATAAAATTAAAGAATATTCTTACCTTAATCCTTCAATTGAAGCGATTTTTTCCCTAATTTCTAGCATCTATTTTTCTTTTAGGGTTTTCTCCCATAAAAAGAAAAGTAGTCATTAGCATTAAATAAATTTAATTAAACCAATCATAATAAAACTTTGTAATAAACCCCTAAAATAAAATATTTTAATATAAGCCCAACTATTTATAAAGTAATTTTACGAATGATCAGTTTGTTACATTTTGGGAGATTATAAATACAATAATACAAATGTTATTTAGGTTAAGGTATTACAATATTATCCTTGCATAGCACATTAGAGGAAGGATATATTTTTATATTGTATTATTTAAAAATAGGCATAATGCATAAAAAAGTTATTGAATTACTCACAAAAATTCAAATAATTCTTTATTCTTTTATTATATTCAATCAAATCTTAATAATTTTACTTTGAATCGAATAGACTTTATGACTAAAGGTTGATTAAATGTCATTAACCAAAACTCTACTTTTTATTTTTATGGAATATGATGCTGACATAACATATTAGCATATTACAATAGATGACAACATAGCATAATGACATAGTCACATGATATTTTCATTCTCTATATTAATGTCATATTCTTTACATTAATGTCATATTATTGGCACATAAAAATAAATGACAAGTAATATTTTGATTAATCAAAGTTAGTTAACTGTTAATTATAAAGATTAGTTTAATTTAAAATAAAAGTATAAGGGTTTAATTGAATATGATAAAAAATAAAAATTTATTTAAATAATTTAAAAAACATTTTAAAATATTATGAAGGAAGGATATATTTTGTAGGAAGAAATTTCAATTTTCAAGTTCCACGGTGAGACTCGGAGAGCACGGTTTACTCCCGAGTGGCAAGAGTCCGAGTCCTTATTTATTTTTTATTTTTTAAAGTCCTAATCCTTTACCGATTTAACTAAAACCCCTATAAATTCCCCAGACCCAAACCCTTTTTCCTCTGTGATTACTCTTCTCTGCCTTCTCTTTTCTTATTTGTTTCGAGTGTGCTCAGACTATAATTTGGTAAGCAAAGAAGAAAGAAGAAAAAGATGAAGGTGATAGCAGCATATTTGTTGGCGGTTTTGGGAGGCAATACCAACCCTTCTGCGGATGATTTGAAGCACATTCTTGGTTCTGGTATTCCTTCTTTTTCCCTTTGTTTCCTGAGTAATGCGTTGCATGTTTTCTTTTTTACCCTACTGATTTTACGTTTTGAAAGATGAAAACTACTATTCCTGCGGATTTTGACATTCTGCTTTTTCTCTATGAAAGATTTTATTATTGTTCATCCCTGAATTCCTTTAGTTTCCACCTATGTTTAGTTTGAATTTTGATCATTGGCAATAATTTACATTACACAGATCAGTTAGACTGTTTTAAGTGAGAACAGACTCCTAAATTAAGTAGGACAATTGCTTTGTTCTCTTTTTTTTTTTCAGATAATATATGTATTATTCAATGTTACAATTTTTCCATAGTAGGAATTACAGAAAATATAAAGTAGTGTAAGGGAGAATTAAAAAAATTTATAATAAGCTCAGGTTTTATTATTTTCTACCTTTTGATTAATTTTTTCTTCCTACATCTTACTGTTGGAAGCCAAAAATAATAATAATAAAGGTAAAAAATATATTTGAATATTAAAAAAAAATATTTTAGAAGAATCACAAGTTAAGATTTAACTTTCATGCATAGCAAATTATCATAATTTTACTTTTATATAGAAAAAACATGTTTAGAATGATATTATACTTAACCGTTTACTGATTTCATCAGGCATAATTCTGTTTTTGCTAGTGAATGTTTTCTTGGTAGCAACTTTCGCAGGTAGTGGAAAGAATAAACAAATAAAACCGTTATTAATTTTAGTTTGTTACTGCTGCTTTTGTTAACAGTTGGAGTTGAAGCCGACGATGACAAGATTGAGTTGCTTTTGTCCCAAGTCAAGGGCAAGGATTTGGCTGAGCTTATTGCTGCTGGAAGGGAGAAACTGGCAGCTATGCCCTCTGGCGGAGCTGCTGTAGGGATTACTACTGCAGCTGTTGGAGATCCTGCTGCTGCTGCTGCCCCTGCTGCTTCTGCTGGGGCCAAGGAGGAGGAGGAGAAAATGCAAGAAGAGTCAGATGACGACATGTGCTTCAGTCTCTTTGATTGAGGAATAATTAGAATATTAAAAACTTAAATTTCTATGTACGTATCAGTTAATAGGATAGGATCAACTTTGGTAAACATATATATATATATATATATATATATGCTAATACATTTCCATTTTAGATATGGATATAAGTTTTTCTGTTTGTGTTTCTTCCTTCATGATTTTCTTATGCTATTGCATGTTTAATCATTTGATTCTTATCGAAGTTTTAACATTAAGCAAGTACAGCTATTTCATTACCAGAACAGTGTGCATCATATTGATCAATCTCATCAATTGCAAGGAACAGAGAAAATAATTTCAGTGAGAGTAAATTATTTTCATCAAAGTATGTTGTCAGTCTGATAAAATGATGCATACATAAAATGGACTAAAAGATCATTAAATTTGGATAGTAATTTGAAACTGGCTCTCCTCTTGTCTCGAAGCTTAGCTGCTCCACATAACTTTAAAGAGTAAGGTTAGAGAACTTGCCAGGAAAGGAAACCCAAAAGCAAAACAAAGAAGTCGTTTTGAAATAAAGTCCTATCCAACTCCTGACACTGAACATAAACCTATTTTAGCGTTTTCCTGTTTGTTCATATGTTATTCTTAAGGAGCGAAACCCAATGCTGGTGTACCACACGTAGAAGCAACCCAAAATGATCTTTGAGTGAGTCTAAACCCATTGTAGCGTACCAAACGTAAGTTGAACTTATTGATAATGGACAAGTGGCTGAAACTCGTCCCAGATATTAACTTGTTTTAGTTCTTAGAAGCTTCCACCCATCTCTCTCAGACCTGAACCAAGTTTCAAAAACAGGGACTTTCAATACCATTTCAAAAATCCTTTTATCTTTTGTTGGTTTCTTCGGCCATATCGCCATATCATGTTAACGTTAACATATTTAGCGTTCAAGCAATATGGTACTCTATTCGAATCTTTCGTTGATGTTGTGTTTTGTCTTTAAAGAGCATCGCCATGCATACGTCTCTTTAATCTTCCCTTTCACAAATACCAGTCAAATACTCAGGGTCACTGCGAACCACGTATTGAACTTGAGACAGACAAAAATGATAAAACTGTCCATCAGTCTACACAGTTCTAGTCCTCATAGCCAACCACATCCATCGCAGAATAGACAAGATGCTTATGTATGCTCTTGCATCAGCAGCGAGGCTATATCATACTGAAATGAACCTGAAACTTTTCTATATATACCAAAGCTCGGCGCCCTTCTGTTACAGTTCACTTTCACAGTTCCTTCTAGTCGTATTGCCATGGGTTCCCTATCCGACCAGCTTCACTTTGTCTTGTTCCCTTTCATGGCTCAAGGCCACTTGATCCCCATGGTAGATATTGGTATACTGTTAGCACAGCGTAACGTTATAGTTTCTATAGTTACAACACCTCATAATGCAGACAGAGTCCATAAATCAGTTGCTAATGCCACGGAATCAGGGCACCCTATCCGTTTAGTGCAACTCCAGTTTCCTTTCAGAGTTGTAGGATTACCAGAAGGGTGTGAGAATCTAGACATGCTGTCTTCTTCAGAAGACGTTTTCAAATTCTTCAGTGCAGCAAACATGATGGAAGAAGCAGTGCAGAAATTATTTGAGAAGCTAACACCCCGGCCAAATTGCATTATTTCAGACATGTGCTTGTATTACACCAGCAGGATTGCTAGCAAGTTTCAGGTTCCAAGGATTGCGTTCCATGGATTTTGTTGCTTCTGTCTCCTTTGTCTGCACAATATACACTCCTCCAAGATACTTGAGAGCATAACTTCTGATTCTGAATATTTCACCGTGCCAGGCTTGTCTGACAAGGTTGAATTTACTAAAGTTCAGTTACCACTTAACTATGATGAAACCTGGAAGGAAATTTGGGAATCAATGGGAGAAGCTGACCAAGCATCTTACGGGGTTGTCATAAATACTTTTGAAGAGTTGGAGTCATCGTATGTCAAAGAGTACAGGAAGGTAAGAAAAGACAAAGCCTGGTGCATTGGTCCAGTTTCTCTGAGCCACAAAGATGAGCAAGATAAGGCTCAAAGGGGTAACACGGCTTCAATTAACGAGCACCGGTGTTTAAAGTGGCTTGATTCTCAAGAACCGAGCTCTGTAATTTATGCCTGTCTTGGAAGCATCTGTAATCTGAGGCCCTTACAAATGATAGAGTTGGGTTTGGGCTTAGAGGCATCGAACAAGCCATTCATCTGGGTCATAAGAGGAAATGATACATCAAAAGAAGTAGAGAAGTGGATTAAAGAGGAAGAATTTGAAGAAAGGACAAAAGGAAGAGGATTTGTAATTTTGGGTTGGGCTCCCCAAGTACTCATTTTGTCACACCCTGCAATAGGAGGGTTCCTAACTCATTGCGGATGGAATTCAACAATAGAAGGGATCTCTGCTGGTGTGCCATTGATAACATGGCCACTATTTGCAGACCAGTTTAGCAATGAGAAATTGGTAGTACAAATGCTGAAAATTAGTGTGAGCCTTGGTGTTAAGAAACCTTTGTTGTGGGGACAAGAAGAGAAGGCTGGGATTATGTTAAAGAAGGAAGACATTAAAAATGCAGTCGACAAATTGATGGATGAAGGAAAAGAAGCAACGGAGAGAAGGAAACGAGCTAAAGAGTTCGCAGAGAAGGCAAAGAACGCTGTTGAAGTGGGGGGATCTTCTTACGTGAATATGACACTGTTAATCCAAGAAATCATGCAACAATCTCATAAAACGTGTTGGAACTTGGGTCCAACCTCACATGCTGAGGAGATGTAGAGTGAAACGTACTATTTCCGTTTTGAAGTTTACATATTTCAAGTGAATCTGCAATGCATATGGTTGTTTTCTTGTAATCGAAGTGTAAATTACAGCTCAGCCTTTTTCCTTTCAAAATCTCAATATCTACTTTTTAATAACTCAGTTAACTTGTATGCAGATAAAACGGTTAAATGGTTTCTAAATATGATTGGTCGAGATTAATGAAAAAAGTTTATTGAATCCCATATAACACTCTAAAGACGTGTTTAATTAGGAGGAATGGAATAGTTATTTCTTCCCTATTTTTATTCTTGAAATAAAATTGCATGTGTTTTAATAGAATGAATATTTCTTGAAATACTTATTTCAAAGGGGATCTGAATAACCATTCTTAAAGTGACCTAAATGGTCATTATTGAGGAGAGCTTGGTAATGTCCATTCTAAGTTGTTGAGAATAAAAAAATAGTTGATTAAACAAAAATACTTTTTTACAATTAAAAAAATTATCTTATAAAATAATATTAAACTTATCTTTTTTTTCTTTCTTTTCCTCACTCCTCTCTCTAAAGTAGCTCCGTTTTTTAAGCTTTCCATCATTGCCGCCTCACTCCACTGCTATCCACTCTCTCTTATTTGTTGCTCCGCTATCCATTTCCAATCAAGTGTGAGATGCCACCCGAGAAGTTGCATTTCATGAAATCAAAGTGAAAATCAAGAATGCTAATGATGAGAAGAAGGTAAAAAACCAAAACTGATGGCCAAAGCTAGAGCCATCAATATGGGCTGGCCTAGCCGGCCCAAGCCTTTATGAGTTAAAAAAATATGGGATGAGTCGGGCTAATTATTTTTTATATGGATCATCAAAACTTTAACTTAACTCATCCTTTGTTATCTTACGGATTGAGTTGGGTCAGTTCATTTTTATTTTTATTTTAAAAAATTTATTTTTATAATTCTACCTAGTAAATTTTTTATTAATAAAATTATTCTATAATTTAATTCATAAATTGAATAACGAAAACATATTACAAACAAACAAATTACACAAAATATAAAAAAATTACATAAATAAAGTTTAAATCTTTAACACAAAGTACTATCCTATAAACATAAGAATATAACCAAATAATAAAAATTTCA